ATATAAAATTTAGTTTTTATTATTTTTAAATTAAAGATACTACTACTTGAGTTTTATTTTTTAAAACAGTGGTTTATCAAATCTTTTATACAAATTTTATAATTATTTGAGTTGGCAATGTGGAAACGAAATTTTCTTTTTTTGAAGAATTAAGGCTCGTATCATTTGGATGAGAATAGGAAGATTGGATTATAACTTGGCGCCATTGATATCAAATCTTTTATACAAGTGATATCATTTGAATTGAGTTGGCAATATGGAAACAAATTTTTTAATTAAAACTAGTACCATTTGAATTAGAATAGGTAAGCTCTTCAATGAATACAAAGATCACAAAGATACTAGCATTTAGATTTTATTTTTAGCTTGATCACAATTAAAATTGCATTAACGCAATTTTTATAGGATTATAACTTGAGCCAGGTATTGATATCAAATTTTTTATACAAATGATATCATTTGAGTTAAGTTGGCAATGTAAAAACAAATTTTTTGTTTTTAATTAAAGCTAGTATCACTTGGGTTAGAATAGAAAGACTTTAATGAAAATACAAAGATACTAGCACTTAGATTTTATTTTTTAGTTTAATCACAACTAGAATTGAGTTAGGTATGGCAATTTCGTAACATAATTTTTTTAAAAGAATTAAAACTATTACCACATTGGTTAGAGTAAAGAAATTCTTCAATGAAGATACAGAGATATGTACTACTTAGGCTGTATTTCCTTAAAGTAAAAGGTAATATATTGTCAGTTAGACTCCATTTTTTAACTTGGTACAACAGTTTCTTCTTTTTTTTCAAGCACATTCCTATACTTGACCCTTTTTTTACCTTTTTTTAAAAAGGTCATTTTATATATCTTCTTCAATATTTAATATTTGATTATCTCTGATTATTTAGAGTAGGTGTTTTATACGATCATAGAAGTCATGCAACGATAAACATATATAAGTACTGGGAATGATCATTTGTTTATGATAACTTTTTTATTTTTTTTTGTTGACATAACTTCGATTAAATGTAACATCCTAACTTTTGGTTAAGTCTAACCTTTGGTTGTGAATAAATCAGTGTGAAATCATCAACATTATTTTATTGTTATTAAAACATCGGATAGTACAAAAACACTCGACAGAATAGTATAAGATATATATACCTTTTTGTTGCTTGAATCTATAATTTTTATTTATATTAAAAATTCATTATATTCATTGTTACTTCTAAGAATTTATTTTGAATATGTGACTTTTTTAACAAAATTGTATTAAAAAAAAACCAGTATCTTTCTTTGGGTGATGATGAATATATTATTTGTTGTTATTTTTTTTGATCCATCAAGTATTGTTACATTTTTATAAATAATGCATTAAATAATATTTTATAATATTTTTAATCTAAGATCGATTGAATAATTCGGCAAATATAAATGTCCAAACTTTCAATTTAAAACATTGATTATTATCAAAGTTTATACAGAAAATAAATGGAAAATTGTAATATCTCTTTCTCTTCTTTCTTTTTGCTTCTATTTGATATTAAATTTATATTGACTGTGAATAATTTATTTTAATTATAAACATATTTATGCAAAAATTATCATATTCTCTATGTAGCATTTATATTATTCGAAAACTAAAAGTTATTCTGAATATTTTAATATAATTTTTTAGTAAAAATATTAAAAGTAATTGTCAAATCGCGTCATTAAAGTTATTAAAATTGTAATAAAATTTGATTTGAATTTTTATTGTGAGTTAATAAGGAAATTTAATGCAAATTTGTAGATTAATAAAGATAACAAAAAAGAGAAAGTTAAAAAAAGAGGGAAAGTAAAGTGATGGAATTGACAAATAGAATTTAAAAAAGAGATGAAATTAGGAAGAAGTGAGTAAAAAAGAAAGCGGGGAGCGAAAGAATGTTGAAGCATAAAATATACAACTAACCGGAATAATAGATTATTTTTTGAATGCTGTAATTTGTTCTTGGGATATCAAGAATGCATTTGAATTCTGCTGCTTCTGGTAATTCCTCATCTAGAAAATCTACTCGTGATAAAATATTATACAATCCATCTTTGCGCAGAGTCACTGTGGATTTCGAAGATTGCTTTTCTGTAACATTTCTACAAGTATCGTTTATCATATTTTCAAAATAAAAAATTATTGTATTATAAGAATTCTTATTTTTCTATATTAGTATACTATCGATGTATACTATCGAGAGAATACATGTATATGTATCAAATAAGAAGGGAGGGTATACGTCACGGCGAGGCCCGACCACGAATAGTCGTGAAAACTCGTAATTATTTTGCGAAAAAATACCACCTCAGCCTGGATCTCCTACTTACCGGGCAGGCATCTTATCCTTTCGACTACCGAGGCATGTGATAATATTTATCGCAAATAACGTGTTTAGAATAACACGTCAACAATACAGTGATACAGTGATATATACGTATATTACAATATACATATATACATGTATTCTCTCGAATTCCCACGATCGGTACTCCAGAGAGATGATGGTCCTATTCTCTCGATGGATGCAGGTCGGACTGCAGCGGCGACACCTTCCAACGCCATTGGCAAATATACAAATAATCCTCCTGGAGCACGACAGGAGAGATTACATCAAGCATGGCTCGAGCCCCCGAATAAGAAGGGAGGGTGTGCATCACGGCGGAGCTCGACCACGAACCAGTCGTGAAAATTCGTAATTATTTTGCGAAAAAATACCACCTCAGCCAGGAGTCGAACCTGGATCTCCTACTTACTGGCAGGCATCTTATCCTTTCGACTACCGAGACATGTGATGATATTTATCGCAAATAACGTGTTTAGAATAACACGTCAACAATATAATGATACACATATATGCGTATATTACAATATACACATATGCATGTATTCTCTCGATAGTATACATTGAATGCATTTAATATATAGCTTCCATAAGTTTTCATTTTATTAATAACTTAAAGATGCCAGAATAATATAGCGATAAATTAAATTTTGTAAATTAAATTTTGTAAAAATATGTAAAATTTCGAAATATTTTAATTTTTTTCAAAACACTTACTTGACTAAAATATTAAGAGTCGGCTGAGGATAAAGACCTTCTGCTTTGCATGTCGCTTCCATTCCATCTTTATTATTTGTGCTCTTTTCCTGATATTCGAAATTAAATCTTTCTTCTATTGCTGAAACAAAAATTACACACACACACACACACACACATATATATATATATATATATATATACACATATAATAAATTCAATGTATATACTAATATAGTAAGAGCCTATTTAAATCTAGTGTTATATCACAATCTTATTAAATTCAAATAATATCTAATATTCAACCCTAATATGTATGTAATACCATTTATATAAAAGATTTGTGGCGCCAAGTTATAATCTTATTATCTTGAAAGTTAAATGTACAATTGCCTTTAAAAAATGTAAATCAATTAATGATTTGTATCTTTGTATTCTCATTAAAATCTTCTTATTCTAAAACCCAAATGATAGTAGCTTTAATTCTTTCTAAAAAATAATCATCATATAATAAAATATCATAAAATTGCGTTTAACTTAATATGTATATCATTTATATAAAAGATTTGATATAAAAAAAGTGGCGCCAAGTTATAGGCCCATTACCTCCAAAGTTAAATGTACAATTGTTTTTAAAAAAAGTAAATCAATCAATGATTCGTATCTTTGTATTCCCATTGAAATTTTCTTATTCTCTAACCCAAGTAGTGGTAGTTTTAATTCTTTTTCAAAATTATGATATAAAATTGCGTTTAACTTAACAATCCAAATGGTACTAGCTTTATTAAAAAACAAAAAAAAATTTGTTTCCGCATTGCTAACTCGACTCAAATGATATTATTTGTATAAAAGATTTGATATCAATAACTGGCGCCAAGTTATCCTACTATAACAATTGCGTTATTATACTAAACTCAAGTGATATGTACTATTCTCAACCAAATGATACTAGCCTTAATTCTTTACTAAAAAAAGGCATGACATCGATACTCGCATCTCTCAAAATTATTGTTGCTGCTTTTCCGTGATACCGATTGGTTCTCTCGCTGCGCTAACTTCGTAAATAGCTGTCATTATATTGATCTCACAGAAGATCGTTTTAAAATTGTGTATCAAGAAGTTAAAAATTATAGTGTAACTATTATAGTGTAACAATAGTATAATAGTATTATATTAATTTTTGCTAAAAACTATTAATTGTTGAAAAAGATAAATAGCGCGCGCGCAGCGCGCATTTGTAATGTCTAGTTTTTTAAAAAAGACAAAATTTTGTTTCCACATTGCCAAGTCAAATAATTAAGTAATAATGTATAAAATTTGTATAAAAGATTTGATATAAATAATTGATGCCAAATTATAGTCCTATAAATATTGCTACAAGTCCACCTTAGTTAAATTATGTATTTCAATTGTATAAAAGATTTAATATACTACTATTTAAAGAAAATAAAATCTATGTAGTAAAATCTTTAATTTAAAAATAATAAAACCAAATTATATGTATATCTTTCTATCCATTCAAGACTTTTTCTTTTCTAACCAAAGTGATAGTAATTATTTAGCTTTAAAATATTATTATATCACAAAATTGCTTTACTTAACCTACGTTTTTCTATCACACTACGTTTATCACAAAGAATTAAAGAGTAACAATACAAAATAAATGATAAGATTTTATTTAAATAATAAAAATTTTTATGTGAAAACACTTGCCTGCTCTACTTTTTAATTTGGTACAACAGTTTCTTTTTTTTCAAGCGTCCACTATACTTGACACCTTTTTTTTTATTTTTTTGTAAAAGATAATTTTATAGTGACATCAAATATTTTGTAATATTAACCATCTTTCTAAATTCGAAAAGCACGTCTTGACATTTTTATACTTGACATTTTTTTTCTATAATACGCACAACAAGAGTAAATAGGATAGAAAACAAAAGAACGAGCAAGATAGAATACTTGCCCTTTTCCATGCGTCCGATTGGCGGTCGACAATGTCATTGTGTTTCGCGGCGAGTTTGATAATCGCTGATAGTTCGTTTTGGAATGTAAGTGCTGTTAATGCCATAATCTATTATTTTGTAGGTAAGTTCTAAGAAGCAACATAAGTACTGTCATTTTAAATGCAATGTATTTTTCATTGTATTATACTTTTGCGTATGTATATGTTTGTGCTTTTTTAATATTTTTCCTTAATTTACTAAAGATTTGTTGAAATATTTTAGGATATTGCTTTACAATTTTTTTCTGAATATCCTGAAAATGTATGATACATGTAATTTTAGTACAAGTGCAATATGTTTTTTTATACTTTTATTAATACAATTTTGAAAAGATTGATACAATTGAAAAAATAATTCAGTTTTATTAATATTTTTTTTAATACTCTTATTAATATAATTTCATTGAAAAGATGATTCAGTTATTTAATAATTATTAAATGTATCTTTTTGATATATTGTAAAGAAATAAACCATAATATGGTCAAGATAACAATCTGCACAACAATCTGTACAAACCATAGTATCTGAATACTCCTGGATTTCTGGATTTCTGGAAAAAAACAAACGCGTACGTAAAAGGATAATATCAAAATGACAGTATTTATATTGCTTCATAGAACCTACAAAATAGCAGATTGTGGCGCATCAGTCACTTACACTCCAAAACAAATTATCACTAATTGTCAAACTCGCCGCAAAACTCAATGACATCGTTGGCCGTCGGACGCGTGGAAAAAGAGCAACAAGCATACAAGTGTGTAATATACAAGACTGTAATTAGAGATTACGGGATATGTTTACATAGATATAAAAATCGATATGAATGAACAATATAATGGTGAAGGTATAATTTATGCATTTTTTTCTAAATTAAAGAAAGAGAGAAGAAAGATAGGATAAATAAAAAGAATTAGTATTTATTAGATAGATATAAAAATCGATACAAACAAACAATATAATGATGAAGATATAATATAATTTATGCATTTCTTTCTAAATTAAAGAAAAAGAAAAAAGATGGAACAAATAAAAAGAATTAGTATCTTTATTATATATATTGCTAATGTGTTCGTTTCGATGCACGCGTATTTATTACATTATAATCTTATCGACTCTGCGGATAAATCAGGCCGATAAGTCAGGGTCACTGTTGAACCAAGCGAACATTGATTTGCTAGATCCAACAATGATTTTGACTTATCAGTCTGATGATTCGCTGGGTCGATAAAATTAATAGTGACATCTCGCGATAGACATTGCAGCCGTACAAAGGCAACGACGATAATGACAACAACGACGACGTTTCTTAAAAGTTTCCAAATCGGACTTTGCGTAGTAATATCTCCGCTCATAAGGCACATAGCAAAAAAATGAAAATACTTTTATTATGCAAGTCGAATTCAAACTATCGATCAAGCCTACTTAGAACTTGACAGTTCAGCCGTTATTGAGATCTGATAATTTCGAATGCTCGCATCTCACCGACTTACATAAATCACATGATAGTGTTCTCGGTTCACTTTACACCCGAGACATTACTGTGTCTCCTGATTTACATAACTCAAATGGTATGTATCTAACACAAGCGGTAGTAGTTTTCATTTTATTCTCAATACATGTATATATAATATTCCGTCATATCTTTCTGTAAAGAATTTTTAAATACATGTATATTTGAATCGAATTTGAATGAAAGATTTAATTACAAAGAATTAAAGAGGTAATACAAAATATAACAATTTAAATAAGAAACTACCAGGTGCATAAGTTTTTTCCGGTTTTTAGTAAAAAAGACACATAATTTTCAAGGGAAATTAATTTTTTTTATTCAAAATATTGGCCATCGGCTTCTACACATTTCGCCCATCTTTCAGGTAATTTATGAATACCATGCCAGAAAAACGGCTTGTCTTTTGCGACAAATCATTCGTCGAGCCATTTCCCAACTTCCTCGAAATTGCTGAAGTGCTGCTCTGCGACCGCGTGCTCCATTGATGCGAAGAGGTGATAGTCAGATGGCGCCAGGTCTGGGGAGTATGGCGGATGCGGAAGGATGTCCCATCCAAGCGATTTCAAGGTGTCTTTCACTGGTTTTGCTGTGTGAGACGGCGCATTGTCGTGTAACAAAATCACTTTGCCATGTCTTCTGGCCATTCCGGTCGTCTTTCGATTAATGCGTGGTTTAAATTAATCATTTGTTGGCGATAGCGTTGTGTATTAACGATTTCGCCGGGCTTCAAGAGTTCATAATACACAATACCGCTCTGGTCCCACCAGACACAGAGCATGATCTTCTTGCCGAAGCGATTTGACCTTGGTGTTGATGGACCAGCTTCGTCAGGTGAAAGCCACGATTTTTTCCGCTTCGGGTTTTCAAAATAAATCCATTTTTCGTCACCCGTCACAATTCGATACAAAAATGATTTCCTTTCGTGGCGTTGAAGCAGCATTTCATAAGTGACTTTGTGATTTTCCATTTGACGTTCATTCAAATCGTGTGGGACCCATTTACCGAGTTTATTGATCTTTCCTATTGCTCGTAAACGTCTGCTGATTGTTTCTTGTGATACATGTAATGCTTCTAATTGCCGTTGAGTTTAAGTTGGGTCATCATCCAATAACTCCTGCAATTGCTCGTCTTCGCATTTTTGTGGTCTACCAGAGCGCTCACTGTCTTTCACATTGAAATCACCACTTTTAAATTGTCGAAACCATGTCTCACATGTTCTAATCGATGGAGCGTGTTCACCATATGTTTACTACCAGCAAACGATGACTTTCAACAGCCTTTTCTTTGGTTAAATAAAAAAGCAATGCCGCAATGTTCTTTTTCAGGCATAAAACTCGACATGATCACTGAACGATAAACAAAACGATAGTTTTTGGCGGACTCAACTTGTGTGTGTTTGTAGTTTTAAATGTCAGACGAACAAAATGATGTATGTGTCAAATTAATACGCTGCGTACTTTTCGCTGGCGACATCTCTTAGTTAAACGAGAAAAAACATATGCATACACCTGGTATAACGCGAAACATGGCATTTCCTTCCAAATAAGAAGGGAGGGTGTGCGTCATGACGAGGCCTGACCACGAACTAATCGTGAAAATTCATAATTATTTTGCGAAAAATATT